AGTAACTGGGTCTTGCACTCGAGGAAGAGTCTAGCCCTTCTTGCTATACCTGACACAAGTTTTCCATGGAACTTGTGCAACTCAATTAGACCTAGGTTCAACCTTCCTGAGTCCACATCTCAATCACCAAGAATGGTGTTTGATCCAAAAATATGCACACACCCACACCCATGTCACATGCTCATGAATATGATGCTTCCCATGCATATGCAATGTAATGTACAATTTCATTTTTTAATATCAAGTTCAATATGTCATGAGCACATTATGAACAACTTTAATATACATCAACATTTTTCATGGTCAATTACATCAAAAGCAAATAATCACCGTTAACAACCTCACCAAAAACATGTTATAACATTGTCAATGCAATTAACACACTTAATCAACATAGGCATTTCATAAAACACTTTCAAGGTATAATTATAGCACATTTTTTTGGGTATTGGCTCATATTGGTGTTTGCTTACGCTAGGTTTGCAGCCATGGTACCCATAGCCTTTATCCATGTCAGTGAGGTGGACCGTTGATGCAAGTCCAGGAAATCACCTACCCAAGAAAAACTCGTGGTTTATTTTATAAAATAGTCATTGGATGTGCAACATCAATGGCAGGGGCTTGGAATGCCCGAATTCATACACATGACATTGCATATGTTATGGGAGCCGATGAAGGCTTGGGTTAAGTTGCATGTATGAGTCTCATCTTATAACATGGCATGACATAGAGAATTCCATTATGAATTCCATATTCTTAAATTGATTGTTTGTTTGATTGTTGAATTTTCATGTGAACATTTCATGTGCATCTAGTTGGAGAACAGCCTCTTTAGGAGATACCCTATTGAGCGTGACTCACCCTTTATGGAAAAAATTTTAGGTGAGAGACAAGCGCTGGTGGATAGCTTTCACTTGGGTTCTCATTCATGAAGAAAAGCCAAGATGTGGCCTTAAATTACATTTTTGTAAAACAAATATGTAATTTAGTTTTGGACATGTAATATTGTATAAAGGATTGTAAAATGAACTCATATGGACTATGTTTTGTGTAAAATTGTATGTTATATGAGTTTGAGTGGATGTTGTATAAGATTGGAAGAATTGGAATTAGAAAAAGAATAAAATTGGGGGCAAACTGAACAGTTCTATTGGTAGAACATTGGTTATCTATCGGTAGAAGAATTCCAGTAGGCACTTCTACTAGTAGAACATTGAATATCTACTGGTAGAAGAATTCCGATGGGACTTCTAGTAGCAGAACGTTGATTATCTACCGGTAGGTCTGTCTAAATTTTCAGAAAATTAAAATACTTTTGTCAAGCCTCCGAGCCTTGAGTCCTTTTGCTCAAAGGAGGTAAATGGAGTAATATTAAAGGTAAATTGATGAATATTGGACCTTAGAATGAACCCATAGCCTCTATAAAAAACCAACAGTCCACGACACCAACATAAGCATTTCATAAAACACTTTAGGCATTTCATAAAACACTTTGCACCAACGAGGGTCCAAGTGAGAACCTTTCAACTTGTACCGGTAACGACTTTTTCGCAAGTCACCAAAAATGAATGTCATAATATCATGTCATGTTATGATGTGAGACTCACACATGCAACCCAACTCAAACCTTTACCAGCTCCCATGACACATGCAATGTCATGCGTTTGAATCTTGATATTGCAAGCCCCCGTCATTGATATTACCCGTCCAATGACCATTTACAAAATAAACTATGTGTCTTTCTTGGATAAGTGATTTCTTGGACTTGCACCAACGGTCTACCACATTGACACTGATTTTGGTATATCACATCCGGTTCCGTATACACCAATACACGTTTTTGGACTTTCAATGTCGAAAGTGTATAAAATAGTAATCGGGTCTTGCAGCCAAAAGCGAGTCTAGCCCTTCTTGCTATACCCGACACAAGTTTTTCATGGAACCCGTGCAACTCAGTTAGACCTAGGTCCAACCTTCCCGAGTCCATTCCTCAACCACCAAGAGTGGTGTTTGATCCAAAAACATGCATACACCCATACCTATGTCACATGTCCACGAATGTGATACTTCCCGTGCACATGCAATAATGTACTATTGCATTTCATATCATTATACAATTAAGTTTTCAATTGCAATATCAACATCGTGTTCAACATATCAAGAGCACAATATGAACAATTTTTATCTCAAACAACATTCCCAATTGTCAATTATATTATAAGCATATAATTACAATCCATACTTTCACCAAGCATATTATAACATCTTCAATGAAACAATCATGCTAAATCAACATAGGCATTTTATCAAACACCCAAAAGGCACAAAATCATATAAGCACACAATCATGTCTAATTTATTACATTTCTCATAAATTTACCCAGCAAGCAAATTTCATAAACTCAATTCATGCAAAATTGGTTTAACACATTTCTATACCAATTTCTCATACTCTAGTTGCACTAGGAGTACATCAAATAAAAGAATTATTCTCAAGTCATGCTACTCATTTCATACGAAAACTCTAGGTTGAAAATAAATCTAGTTAGGAGAAGAACCCTACCTCTTGAAGCTAATACAAATGGTAGGAACTCCAAGAAAACTCAACTCAAGTTTTAGAATTTGATTTCTAAAAATTTCGTTCTTGAGACTTCATCAAAATCCCCAATTTTTGGTATGTAAATGTAGCTCTCATCGAGTAGATGAACTTTAGTTGTTGGCCCGAAGCAATCCGACCAAACATTGGCCCTAGATCGCAAGAAGAATACGAAGAAACCATTGATTTTCTCTCTCTCTACCCAAAAATATGTTGGGTAATGAGAAAAAAATCTGATTTTTTTTCTTTATTTATACTCGTATAATATTTGGCTTACAACGCGCCACATGTCCCACCTTTTATTGATCCGATTTCATCCCAAATCAGTTGAATCTCGTCTCATTTTAAGTTTAATATATTTTATTTGAACTAAATTTAAATTATTTTTCATAATTTCGCAATTAAAACCCAATCACATTTATTTTAGTCACGTGACACCCGATCACATCGTAAAACGCAAAAAATTTGATTGTCTCAAAAATCAACAAAAATTGACTGAGTAATTAGATTTTACTAGATGAATCCAATGGTAAGGTCCATTTCGCCATTCGAGTTCTAGAACAATTCGGGTTCTCAACCCGTATCATAGCAGCTAATTACCGTTTTATCATTTTTCATAAAAATTTAAATTTTCCCAAGTTTTACGCAAGGATAGACTTGTTCAAGTATCTTGTTAGTTGGAAATGCGTTAGTCCTTACCAACTGAATGGCATGAGCAAACCTCCTTATGTTCGCTTAGTGGAGCCTCGACCAAGTGATATGAGGTAGGTCTTTAGTAGGAGAAGACCACTTTACTTAGTGGTGTAAAGGAGGCCACTTTGCCTAATGGTAGTAAGAGAAGGCCACTTTATCTGGCGGTGTTAAGGAGGTCACTTTGCCTAGTGATAGTGGAAGAAGCCACTTTACTTGGATTAGAAGAGCCTTTAGCCGAGTGACAATAGGAGAGGCCTCCTTTGCCGAGTGACAATAGGAGAGGCCTCTTCTATGCCTCACAGTATTATAGCAATCAAAGTCCAGTTCTGCGAAATACCCATAATGGGATTTCTCTTCTCAATTATTGGGGCTGCTGCCTAATTATGAAGCAGCTCGTTTTCAATAAAATAGGTCCTAAACCGAGAGAATGATCAAAACTTCCTCATTTTTCAGGATTTGATATTTCTTCTTTTTAAACTTGTCTCACCCCCTCAGTGAAGTACCCAGCAATGAACTACACAATAGTGAACTAAAAAATTCAGCTTTTCTTCCACTCACAATACATAATAAAAGACAATAAATTTTTGTAATTCAATGTCAAGTAGTTTAACGTTGGATAATTCACCGTTGGACAATTCATGGTCAAGGGGTGGTGGTGCTTGGGGGTGGAATTTTTAAATAACCTTATTCATTAAGAGTACTTTCGTAAATTGTGTATTTTATAGACCTTTCAACTTAAAAGTGTCTAAGATAAACCTTTCGCCTTAAAAGTGTCCAAGATAGAACTCTCACCTTAAAAATACATGACTTTATATCTATTACTTGAATTCGCAAAAAAAAAAAAAGATCCACTGAACCGATGGTAACCCATTGATCCAAACTAAAGCTCAAAATTAAAGAGCTAAGAGTTTATTTTTATGAATGAATAATGTTATTTTGACTTAAAAATCTGACCTAATTTACTAATATAATAATGTGACTTCATAAGAATTATTAGATCAATACCAAGTTTCAATATTTGATGAGGCCTACAGTCAATCCAAATGTCACAGTAAATTAGGTTAGCAAATTATGTCATTAAATTAAATCTCAATAGCATTGCTCTTTATGAATTATCTTGGATGGACTAATGTTTCTTTTTAAGAGTATGACTAATCCAACCATTTAATCAACAGTTGAAAAATAGTTTCTATGCCGGGTTAGTGTCCGGTTGGGTTTAATAACTATGACCCAGAGAGCTGGATTAGTGAAAATATACTCGAAGTTCTGAGCTTAGCAGAATTACGGGGGTAAACACCTACACCCTTTCCAAGTACAACGAAAATAAATGAAACCATTTGCTCAGGTATCTTAGACACTTGGCGATCAATGCCACTTCCAATATATCTTGTGAGAGAATCAAATTGTAGGCAATTCTGCAGTAATATCAAAAGGTCCCAAAACAGTTCCACAAATAAAAGCCAATATTCCAACAAATTTCTCTCCCGATAACATAAACAACTAAATGCCAAGATAAACACAAGAGGATTATTGACGTCACGTATTCTGGTTTTTTATTTGAGCTTAGCATTTCTACCACATTCTGGGGGGGAAAAAAGGCAGCAGCTTTTCAACCCTTATATTAACCCAATTCAGTAACAAAATTCTATTTTACTTTCCTACTCTTTGGCAAAATATTAGTCATGATAACTACTATTAAGTAGTATCTGTACCGGATAATACACACAATTTCCCATTCAATAAAAAACCAAGCAAGCATAAACCAGTTGATCCAAAAATATAAAGATCCATCATAACATATCCAAAAAGCAAAAAGGTGTATCAAAATTGAAACCGAGTATTCTATAATGAAAACCCTTACAAAACATACTTTGGCCTATTACCAAAACTAATAAATCAAGCCTCAACTCTCTCAGCAGCATCCTCAACAAAAACCATCTTAGTCTGCTTTGCCAACAGATCGGTGTGCTCTTGGAATGGGGATTTGGTGAAGCGAGTCTCCCTCCAGAAGTCTGGAGTAAGGAACCCATAAGTCTTCAACAGACAATCAAAAGTGGCCTGCATAGATCAAAGGCATCAGACATCCACCTATGGCTCCACCGGACAAAAGTGGCCCCAAGTATATAAAACATCTTCTACACTTCTGGCTTGGCCACTTTCATGATACTTAATAAACGACAAAATCTTTACTAATCAAAATATATTTTACCATATTGATTTCTGCACTTTAGCCGATTGACGTCGGACCAAACACATGTCCTAGTTCCACTGGCTTAAACCCAACAAGTTGAATAAATATCAAGGCATAGACAATTAACAATTATTTCCCCAGCGGTTCAGCACTAAGTGTCTACAAACATTCCATTAATTACAAACACAAGTAAAACACTTATATCTATATTTGGACAGTATACAAAACCCATAAGTCAAAATAATTCCATGAATAATAATGGATCATGCCCATGCACACACACACGACGATTCATAAACCCACACTTATGCCACAGCATAAAAATTTTAAATCATCTTCAAAGCAAACCAATGATTAGAAAAATAAGTGTTATTGAAGGTGAAAGGCAACCTGAGGCGCCAAATTACAACAAATATCAACGATATTCATGATTCAGTATAATAACACTTGATTCCAGAGATACTTAACTTATACAACTCACCTGTGAATTCTAGTAGCATAAAGCAAAGCAAATCATAACAAAATTCCCAACCAAAAACATTTTTTAAATGTTTATTAGCATCTCTTATCACTTTCAACATTAGATTCATTTAGGTGGCAAAATACAAAAAAAAATATTTCTTAAATATTTATTACCATCTTTCATAGCTTTAAATATTAGAATTCATTTAAAGGTAATAAAAAGATTTTCCAAATAGAGTTAGAAAGAGAAAGAAGCAGAGAGAGAGGTCGAAAAACCCAAAGGTATTTCTTAGAACCATGGACTAATTTCACAGTATTAGGGACCAACTGAACTAAGACACATTTATTTTAAAAGAAGTTCATTTCAATAAATTAGGGATTGCTTTTGCCCCCAAAAAAAAAGGTAAATGAGAAAGAGAAAAAAAAAAAAAGATATCAAAAAGAGATATATGATGAAGATGAAAAACCAAAAAGACAGATCCCTGGACGAAAATATATATATTTGTGATTGGAGTTAGATTCAGATTAGAAATATAATTGAAGCTCAACTATTACAATCAAATTCATAGATCAATAGCACAGAAAAATATTGCTGAAGGACAAAAGGCCAAACAACTACCGAGCCTCGGTTTTAAACTTGAGGTGCATTCTTAAGGCACCCAAACTACACCATGGCGAAGTACCCTTGGCACTTCAAGTATTAAAGTGCGCCTTGCAAAGGCATTGGCACACTTATTACAACACGATGCATTTAAGATCACATAAATACAAATTAACAAATGCATAGATAATATAATCCTCCCCAAAATTTATAGTCAATCACAACACTGTGCGAAAGATCCCAAATGTTTGTATTTGTCATGAAACAGGGATTTTTTCATGTTCCTTTTGAGGACAATTTAATCATAATTTCCTTGGCAGTAAAGAGAAATATTAAACAAACACAATGTACATTACCCTTATAATTATGATATGTACGTACACAAAGTTTCTAGAATTTCTTAACAACTAGTTTGTTATAGGTATGATATGTTGGAAGTCCAAAATGTGAAGAAAAAAAACAGTATCACAAGTAATTGCCCAGGGAGGAGAGGGCACGGGATTAACCATAGGATAGATCTTCGGAAGTGCAGACATAGATTCATATTTGGGCAATCAAATATCCCTTCAAATTGATTTTCCACCAAGTCCAGCACAGTTATGAGTCACGGCAAAGTTAATAAGTGTTTTGTACAAACATAACATTTGATAAATCCATATGAAGCTTTGAAGAGAATAATCATAATCAACCTAACAATTTAAGCTATAAGTGATGCTAGAGATATGCAAAACATCCAGGCAATCCTGATGACAAACTGATGTCTAAGGGCCTAAATATTCAGGTAAAGAGTATTTAGATCAATCAAACCTTGACGAAATTGCCAAGAGTCTTGGTGGATCCACGTGACGAAGTGAAAACATCCTCAATCCCAGCAAACTGCAGAACCTTTTTCGGAACTCGGGCTGCCACAATCCCAGCACCCCTAGGTGCCGGAACCATCCTCACGGTAACAGATCCACATTTTCCGGTAACCTTACACGGCACCGTATGAGGCTTCCCAATCTTATTCCCCCAATAACCTCTCCTAACCGGAATCACTGACAGTTTCGCCAGAATTATCGATCCTCTTATCGCCGTCGCCACCTCTTTCGAACACTTAACCCCCAATCCGACATGGCCGTTGCCGTCGCCGACGACGACGAAGGCCTTGAATCTCGTACGTTGACCCGCCCGGGTTTGTTTCTGGACTGGCATGATTTTCATGACCTCGTCTTTGAGAGATGGTCCAACCAGAGTGTCAATGATTTGGTGCTCTTTGATTGGGAGAGAGTGGAGGTAGATTTGCTCCAGCGACTTGATCTTGCCATCCTTCACCAAGCGGCCCAACTTGGTCACCGGAACCCACTTTTCTTCCTCCGCTTCGCGACCGCCACGGCCACGGCCTCGGCGGCCTCCTCTGCCGCCTCGGTCTCCGCCTCGGCCCCTGCCTCCGAAGCCTCTGCCAAAGCCACCACGTTCTCCGCCTCTCTCAGCCATGGTTCGTTGTTAGGTAGGTTTTAGCTAGGGTTTTGAAGAGATGAGAGAGAGACAGAGGAGACGAGATGCTTGTATATGAGGAGCAGAGGGAGCTAGGGTTTGTGTATGAGTTTTTGGGTGTTTGGTTGCGGGGGGTGAGTAGGATTAAGAAATAGGTATTGGATTGGAATGGTGGTATCAGTGTTGTTACTTGGCCTATCAGCGGTTTAGATTTGATGCAATTTAATTCCTATTAAAATTCGACCAGTCATACTTGAATTGATAAAAAAACACAACAATTATCAAAATTTAAATTCAAATCAAAATAAATGATATCACATTGATAAGAAAATTTTAAAAAAATTAAAATACACACAAAACCAATTTAATCTAATGCTCGAATATCTCACTTTTTTTTATAATATTCTAGTCATCAGTGAATGGCGAAGCCCAAGAACTAATGCAGCAAATATTCTGCATTAACTTGTGCCTTCCAAAACATAACAACCCCGTAATTTCCTCGTCTAACTCTAACCAACTTTGTATAAATGATTGAGTCCAAAATTCCAACAATAAGAACACCTTTGTTCGAATCATGTTTATAATTGGTTAATTTTGTGAAGACTTACGTAATTTCAACCTAATTCTATGGTCATCAAGTTCCAAACATCAAGATCTAGAATCGACAAAAAAGTGAAGAAGATCAAGCTACAATATCATATTGAGATCACTCTAATGCATTGTCAAACTTAGAACAAAGGTAATGACTATAGAGGCCAAAAAACCATTGTTTTAATTCATTAGATTTAAGATTACTATTGTCATAAAATGGAATTTGGAATATCCGAATATAACTCCCATGAATTTTTATTGAAAAATATTTTCTAAACCTTAAATGTATTTTGAAATGATAAATTTGAGTTATTTATCAAACTCCATTTGAGCAAAACCCTTAAGTGTTCAAGGAAACAAAATTTTGCTTAGTTTTCGGCCTTAAAACCAATAGGAACATCCCTCTACTCGCTTGCCTTCGCCTAGAGCAATCTCTGAATACCTAGGTATAAAATGGGAAAAAGCTAACATATTGGGCAGAGGATACCGTTGTCCGGGTCGCTCTCAAGGCGTTCGAGCGGTCCTAAGATGGCTCGAGGTGTCCCTGCTCTCCCATTCTAGTTTGAATCCTCTTCATGTGTAGTTAAATCAATTTTGACTTTGGCAGTGGAAGAAGCTTTATTTATCCTAAAGGCAGTGAAGGAATTCTAGGCTTAGACTCACGTGACTGACCTATCTATAAGTTAGTAAAATGCATAACTTAATCATTTAAAGTTTTTGATTGATTAGCTATGAGCATGAGCCTTTTACTCATGACAACCCTATTTTGCTTGTAAATGTGCATTATAGTGACCATCTTCATCACATGTGAAACACCTCGAATTATTTAGTTAATTGTTCTTTAACAACTAACTTCCTTAAGTGCTAACCCTTATCATTTTTAGCCTTTGGGGAGACTTAAGTCCACACGTGGGGTTGATGTGTTGGGATTACCCTTCACAAATACGATCTTGGAAGGAGTGGAAGTGGTGTGTTGAAGTGTGTAACCCAAACCTCTTTTTTCATTTACACTCTTCTCTATAGAAAATATTTTTTTAAGCTTTTCTAATCCTATGGATATTCTTTTACAGATTCTTGTAATTCATGAAGGTCTTTATCAACTTTCATCAAGTTAAACTCTAGACTCTTCTTGGACTCTACAAGCCAATGACTTTCAATCTATAACGCCCCAAAACCCACCCTGGATGGCATTACAAACTAAAAATCATTCACATCATGAGAGTAACTAAATAATTCATCTATAAAAAAATTTCATACATCAAAGGTAATCTTTACAATCCCGTTCCCAAAAGAATACGCCAAAATATGACGAATATATCCCAAAAAAAAATGATCCCAAAGTAAGATAATTACATCCCAAAAGAATTAAACATAAACTCGCAGCGGAAGTACAAAAGATTCTAGACTTCACACTATTTTCCAAAGTACATTTCCTAGTCTAGAATAAAAAATAATGTTGTTCTAATCGTCCACCTCGGAATCAACATGCTCGTCTACGGAATCTCTCAGTGTGCCGGTTCCTCAATTTCCAAATCCTCCTCCAGTACATAATCTGAAAAATGTAGTTTGTAGGGGGGTGAGTACTAAGCTCTGTATCAACATTCCTCCCAAACTCGAATAAGGTTTAGAAAAGTATATAAAAATGGTCGGTCACCTTTCACAAATAGCATATATGAATTTTAAAAAAATTGGGACATTTAAACAGATATCAAGTTTAAGCAACAGTAATAATTTAATGTATAAGTGAAACCAATATACAACTAATAATCCATTCCACCATAAACCGTTTCTCCCAAGTTCTTGTGGAACCTCATACTTCCCAAAATTCTTGTATAAACTATTTCTGGTAGAATAAACAATAACTCATAATTTGAACATTTCACAACAATATATATATATATATGTATGTATCTCAATCATGATGTAAGACATCCGCATGGATTAACACATTAAGTAATATCTAGCCCACACACACACACCCAAATCTTCTCAAAGATATCCAATCTTTAGGAAGGGCGTATATCATACCAATGACAATGACGTATCCAACCCAGACATTAGTATACTAACCCTCCGCCTCGATACCCGTGAGCAATAGCAGTTTAGTCTTACCAAAGCACTAACCCCACTACGAGTGGTAGAAAAAGTTCAAACTTACACGGAGTATGAATAACATCTACCCACTCTACGATATCTCGTCAAAGGCCACCCCTGGTCCTCCCACACTCATGAGAGATACAATACCAAACTCAATTTCTCAATTTACAAGCATATCTTAAAAATCCCCAAATTTATCATGTGACAATTCTAAAACCAATTAAGGAAAATACAAGAGATCACAACAATATCATTTTAATACTCAACACAAAGCACTATAGTTTCGAAATCAATAATAAAGGAAGAATTTAAGAAGAAAATCTATCACTCTCCAAAAACTAGGATTTTAAAGTAAGAAAAGAGATTTTATAGGTATTCAACCCTAATTTTGTTCAAAACATATAATCTTTGCAAGAAGACCAAAAAAAGATGATTTCATAGCAAATATATAAGATTTAGAGTCAAATAATACATATATATTAGCCCTAGCATCAATGGACAAGAATGGAAGAAATCTCCCTACCTTGATTTTCTTGAAAAGACTAGGTTTTGATCTTCTTGAAGTTGAAATTCCCTTTGATCTTGTGTTTTTCTCTTCTTTTACTCATCTCTAAGGTCTCCTAGGGTTTTGAGTGTTGAAATGGGGCTAAAGGGGTTATCCTTAAGTATTTATAGTGAAAGGAAAGCCGACTATTCACGACTTAAAATTTTCAGATTTTTCGAAGACCTTTCGGAAGGTTGTTCGTCAACCTTCCGGAATGTTTGCCTATTTGACAAACCATTTTCATTAACCTTCCAGAAGGTTGTCATCGACCTTCCAGAAGGTTTTGTCTACTGGAGAATCATCTTCCTTAACCTTCCGGAAGGTTTGTCTTCTGGACAAACATTTTCATCAACCTTCCGGAAGGTTTGTCATCGATCTTCCGGAAGGTTTTGCCTACTGATTAAATCTTTTACCTTAACCTTCCGGAAGGTTTTGTCTGTTTTTCTACAAAACCTCCCTTTTTCATTTCCAATCCATTTCAAACATTTCTAATTCCAAACCAAGCTTCTTCAACATGCTTTTGTACATCAAACCTAGTTGGTATAAGTATTATTACAACGAAATCATATATTTGCAAGCTAAATTAAGTTTTAACTACCGTTTCTTGAATTTTTCTATATTAATATTTCAAAATAATTAATAATTTGCTATATAAATCTACATACATATATAAAGATAAAAGTGTGGAGTTTACACAATTTCTAGAAAAATGACTTTGTCTTTCAAGAACTTATTTGCCTTGGACTTAACTAAGTCCATTTGAAGTCCTTGTTTCTCCTCTCCATTGGTTTCGAGCCTTGAGCTCAATGTAAGCACTCTTTTTTTTTTTTTTTGGAGATTTAGTAACTTTTCACACAATTGGTAATAGGTCTCATTTATGTCCTTAATATTTTTGGTCAGCTTCACTTAAGGAGACTTCAACATCCAAGTCATCTACCCTCGTGGTAAGACTTATTCCTTTTTCTTTCTCACCCTCAACTTATTTAGAAGAATTTTCTTTTTCTTTTTTCTTTTATTTGGGGAGGGGGGGGGGGGGAAGGGAATGTCATCCTACAAAAGCCATAAAAATTTCTTCATCTTAAGAAAAGGAGTTGTGACGCCCCTAAAATCGGGGTCCTTTATCAACCGTTGATAATTCATCAACCCGTGAAAATACCCATGATTATTGCACAATCGTCATCGCATCAATAGCCTTCCCTTAGTCGAGATTGCAACCCACACGTGCACATTTTATCACCTGACTCTAACCAAGGTCCAAAACACCTCAATTTATTCTACATTATGGTCCATTTATATCATTTAAATAAAAGGACACAGCCCAAAAGAATGGCAAAACATTCTTAATAATTTTAGATTTTTGGAAAATCTTCTGGAAGGTTTAAGTAAACCTTTCGGAAAGTTTTGCCCACTAAAAAATTTCTTCTGGAAGGTTTTCTCAACCTTCCGGAAGATCGAGCATACTGGAATTCAATTTTTAAGAAAGATATGTCAACCTTCCGGAAGGTGTGTTCAACCTTTCCGAAAGAAGTTACACACTGGATTCCCTCATTTTAGAAAAATGTGAAGACCTTCTGGAATATTAGAATCGACCTTCTAGGAGGTTCATCCACTGTTTAACAATTTTTACTTGTCTTTGTCCAAACATTCAAGAAGGTTTTTCCCAGAGTTGTCTGTTCACTTGTTTTTTATTTCCAATTTATTCCAAACCTTCCCATAAACATTCAAACACATGTAAAATATAGTTTTTCACATAAGACTTGATACATACAAGTTCTATTACATACAATTCCACATATTTACACATCAAAATGGAATTTTCATAAAAAATTTACAAAATGAACTATAAAAAGCCACAATCGGCTTTCTTCATACTTGAGGCTCGAAATGGGGGCTGTCCACCGGTATGAACCTTGTACTTGAAATTTTTTTCCACGAAGGGTGAGCTACGT